TTCTACCATTAGTACCAACTTTCAATATACCATTGGTACAATAATTTGACAATGGTACCAACTTTACCAATAAACTCTGAACGGGTATTGGCATACAAATGTAACAATTTTACCAATGTTACCAATGGGAGTCCAATGGAGACATTGGTAATACTGAATTACAGATTTCTTTGTCTTCTAAGTTATTAGCACATGCCAGAATCGCAAGAAAATCATAGCAGACTCATATCCGACAAACAAACCACATTAGGATCACACTTCTTTAGTTGCCATATCTATGAGTTTTATATAATCCATTTAATGGATCATGTCTGAATCATACTTCAAAATCATGAATATAAGTGTTTGATATGATTTTTATGTGATTTTGGCATGATTTGTTAAAAAGGATTAGAGGAAAAATCGTTTATATCATTGTAAATCCGGGATCCCAGTCTTTCTAGCTTGTTGCCATGTCGATAACTAGCTGTGACGTCATTTACCAACACTAACCACACTCTAGACTGTCTGCAGAAAAATATACCATTGGCAAAAAACATTGGTACCAGTGGCATGCCAATGGTAATTAATTTTACCAATGGCAACTTTTGTCTACCAACGGCAGAACTGTGAACGCACCCACCGTATGATTAAATCTCATCTTACTCCTGTATGCAGCACTAAAGAACCAAATTTTTTTGTCAGCGAGGTTGGTTAAAGAAAGTTTAAACACATCACATTGTATTTTTCATGCAATTTTTATTCAAGAAACGGATTTGGGGCATTATTTTAAAAATATGAGGAAAATTTCCGTATACAGTGATGTTTTTTCTTACTGAAAAGAGGAATAATCCCGTTCTTTAGTAATACTTCCTAGTACAAGGATCTGTACCCAACCTGATTAACCCATTCATCCTAAAATTCTACCGCTTATCCTTTACCGATTTCTCCAGTCTTGTACTGGACCACTATGCAACAAGTATCACACAGTAAGTAGGCTTGGTTGCCTGTGGGCAACTCCACCGTATTTCAGAGAAATGTATTTATGACAGTGAAATTCAAAACTTCATAGGCAATAGAATACATCTAAAAATTAATCCATTCATCATACTTTGTACTTACAATCAATATTGTAGGCTCAGGAGGCCTTTCGCTTTTCCGCCATCTTTTTGTTACCCGCTTAATTTTGTAATGACACATCGGGCTCGATATTAGAACCATTGTAATAACTGAAAAACCATACCGGAATTTGTTTTTCCGAACTGCCTGACTGGTTAAGTTATAGACTCTACCGTGTTGGTGTTAATTTATATATTTGTTTTATTGATGTAAATGTATACTCTGGCAATTTAAAGCTTTAATATGAATTTCAGATGTAATGTCAAACGTTCCATAGTGTTTTGAGTCTTGGCTAATGAGGAAAGATAACTCTTGAAAGTGGACTTTTTATACCAAATATTTTTTAAATTGGATTTTTCATTTCGTTTAAACATTCTTCATTCAATTTGACACATGTAATTCATTGAAATACATTCCTTGTCTCTTCAGAACACACTTTTAAAACGTTTTATGCATAGATTAAAAAAATAATGACATTAATTGTTTTTTAGGAGATAATTATTTTTTCTAATAAAATTATTATCAGGTATTATGAGGTATTTTCACTTTGTGTACTTGTCTTAAGAAGATGCCCATCATTTGACACTGAAAGTTTTGAAATTCTGTGAATAATAAACCTGAAATAAAACATTTCACTAAAATAAAACAAAAACTAAAAAATTCTTTTAAAAATATTTATGATATCAATACCCCCATCTGGATATTTGACATCTACATTATAACTGGTGCTGTATTGAAATCTAAAATAAACTGTGGATGTAATGAGCCACCTTAAACAAGACAGAATAACATTTTAAAATTTCGTTCCGATGAAAAATCGTCCGGATACTGAAGCATCCGGATATCTGGCGTCCGGATATCTGAAGGTCCACTGTATATTTTTTTACTTTCTTTGCCTCTTATAGCATACACAGGTACTTGTGGACAGGACCCCCCCCCCCCCGATATTCAACCCCGGGGCTTATTTGACACTTTTTTCACAATTCATATTTAGTACACTTATTCAACATGTTTGCAATAGGAACAAATCGTCAAAACCCCAAAATAATCGCTCCACAAAAAATACCCTACTATAAATTATAAGAGAGATCTCTTATAATGTATAGTAGGGTATTTTTTCGTGGAGCGATTATTTTGGGGTTTTGACGATTTGTTCCTATTGCAAACATGTTGAATAAGTGTACTAAATATAAATTGTGAAAAAAATGTCTAATAAGCCCCGGGGTTGAATATCGAGGGGGGGGGGGGTCCTGTCCACAAGTACCTGTGATAGCATATTGATTTTTGATGCAGATTTATACCATCATCAGTGTCGTTAGAGTAAAGTTAAATTATGTTAAACAAAGTTTTCAATTAACTTTCCTTTGATGTTGAAAAAAAAAACTCATTTCTTTGAATTCATTTGCATTTATCCTTTTATCATTACTTTTTTAAAATCATATTCAGTAATGAGATCAAGAATGAGGGTAGAATCTTTTATTTTACATTAATCTAAAATTGTTACTATGTTATCCAAAAGTAGCTTTTTAGAAAGGCATTGGGGGTTTCAACTTGAGCTACACACTGGAGATAAATTTTATTTGTTTAAGAAATCTTTTTGATTCTATTTAAGTGAAAATAGCGTGCCAGTCGATGCCGTGTTAAAATGGAGGGACGTGCACTAATACAGACACATCATACACGTGCACGTGTAACGAAGGTTGGACTGGACAGGATTGTTCAAGTTAGTTTAATTAATGGTTTTCATTTTGTAAATCTTCAAGCATTTTGTAACTTAGCTATGTATATTTGCATCAACACTCAACAGGTTGTTTTTTTTTTGTTTTACAAAAAGCACGGTTGTTAAAATGTTATTAATGTTCAGAAAATAACAATAGGAAAACCACTTTTATTCGTAGAAAATAAATGGTAAAAGTAAACTGTGAATTTTTGAATTCACTGCTATAAAAAATATTGGTCATTCTAATTTGCATTCAATGCTTAAACTGCTGACAAAGCAGAAACAACATTGTCTTCGTTTGTAAGCCTTCAACTCGACATTTAGATATATCAACGACGTATTTTCAATGGTAAAACTTTCATTCTTTTGTTGGTAGGATATATCCAAAAGTTGTAAGTTTGAGAGAAAAGATACCACAGAGCCTGACACATATGTATCATATTTGGATATTTTACTTGAAAATGATGACCTAACAACCAAGCTCTATGATAAACGTGATGACTAATTTTTCAATCGTCAACTTCCTTCTCTTATGCAGCAATATACCTTCATGCACAGTTTTATCTCTCAGTTGATTCGATGAGAGCATGCGCTACGAAAGATTAATTTCTAATGTGAGTTAAGTCATTGACAAACAAGTTGATGAAACAAGAATATCAACAGTCTTGTTTAAACAACCAAGCTTTATGATAAACGTGATGACTAAACCTTTTCTATCGTCAACTTCACCTGCATACGGAATATATATATCTCACTTGATTCGATACGCAAGAGCATGCACTACGTATGAACAATTTCTAATACGACAAGCAAATAATTGACAAGCAAGTTGATGAAACATGAATATCAACAGTCTCGTTTAAAGTCATTATTTCGTAAGTTCTATTGTCGATACAATGATCTTGTCAGCAAATACAATTTATCATTGAATCAAATGCTAACTGACATTTTTCATACCAATTATTATTTTATTATTTATACACTGAATTGACGACGGATTTTATCCTTTATTTCCTGATCATGACAAGGAGCACTCGGCGGGCGTGACCGGTCGGCAGGAGATGCTCACTCCTCCATGGCACCTGATCCCACCTCTGATTTTCGGGATCCGTGTTTGCTCTTCTCTTATTTTGTATTGTTTTATGGACTTTGGACTCCATACAGTGACCTTGTCAGCAATACAATTTATCATTGAATCAAATGCTGACTGACGTTTTCAATATTAATTGTTATTTCATTAATTATACAATGAATTGACGAAGCATTTTTCCATTATGTTCCGATCATAACAACGAGCACACGGCGGGTGTGACCGGTCGGCAGGAAATGCTCACTCCTCCATGGCACCTGATTCCACCTCTGATGTTTCGGAGGTCCGTGTTTGCTCTGCTCCAATTCTGTATTGTTTAATAGACTTTTGATCTTGAATTCAGCTCATTATATCTCTCTATATATTTTAATTGGTCAACTTAATAACAATTTTTGACTTCAGTGCTTAGCTGTGCTGAATTTTTAATTGAATTTTATTAAGCTAATGTTGAAAAAAAAACCTCTTAAAATTTTCTCTAAAATTGCTATAAAGGTTATGATAGTTAAATTAAACATGTTTTCATTAAGTGTTTAAAGATAAGCATTTTCCTCAGTGTGCTGTTGTCTTTGAGTAATATGAAAATGAAATATTAATTTAATTCAATCACTCCTTGCAGATTTTGATGGAGTTTTTAAATACGAATACGCTTTGATGATCATGTTGAATCACTATTACGCATCCAATGAATCTTCAATGATTTACATGACAACAAGTACCTCAGCTACCATAGAAATCTCGACCTCAAACAATCTTAAACCCTCTCTCAAAACAGCCATTGATCAAACCATGTTCTTTGCCTCGCAACTGAAAGTTGCCCTGCCTCCTGAAATGCAAAGCGTCTCTTTCCAGAAAGAGTCGAAAGCCGTAAAAATTCGCTCAACCGAACCCCTTACGGTTTTACTCTTTGACAACAACTATTTACAATCCAACGACGGTACTCTGATTTCCCCAGTAGAAAAACTCAAAACTAGGTATTTAATTGCTTCTTCTGAACCTCGTTTTGCCAAACATCCGGTTTACGCCAGTTTGTTCGGTGTAGCTGCATTGGAGGACGACACAATAGTGACGATAACATTTAAACTGGGCAGTAATTTAATACCTCTGACAATCAACAGACAAAACTACAGCGATTCAGACACCTTCAAAATCTCCCTGAACAATTTGGAGACTCTGCAAATGGAGCACAGCGCCGATCTCTCGGGAACCTTAGTCGAGTCTTCTAAACCTGTAGCAGTGTTTTCTGGAAACAGATGCAACATGTTTTCAGAATCGATCAGATTTAGTCATTTTCTGGAACAAATGACCCCGACAGCGGACTGGGGTTTTCGATATATTGTACCTTCTGATTTCAATAGTGATGGTACACTCGTGAGCTTAATAACTGACCAGTTAATTTTTAAAATTTTTATAGGTTATAATGTGAAAAAAATAAACCTTCTTCCCAGAGTACCGTTTGAATTTTCTTTAAAAGCAAATGAATCAGCTTTTATCATCGGCCGTGTCTTGGTAAACAGCTTTGTAAAAGGAAGTAAGAACAATCCTAATTCCAGTTCTCCATACATGGTAACGATTCCGGATATTATTCAATCCAAAAGTCAGTATTTAATCCCAATTCCTGAAGGCTACCTGAACAACTACGTAACGATTATGAACGAAACAATAAGAAAATACGATCTTCGTCTGAATGGACAACCGCTAGAAGAAGGAAAGATTCGATTTAAATACATAAGTTTCTTTTTCTCCATTCTGACCTTGGAAGTCTCTCCTGGTATACTGAACATAACGACCACTTCAGGATCAAAGTTTGATCTGGTTGTCTTTGGCTATCGGTATCTTGATTCTTACGGATTTGCAGGCAGCCTTCCTTAACATTAAATGTGTTCCAGCAAATCTTTTTATGTTTGTGAAAAAAGGAATTTCTTCGTGTTATTATAAATATTAAACTGATGTTAATCTTCAAATGTAGTTTTAGTTTTTCAAAAGTTAAAAACACCCTGACTGAATCTCCTCTTTCTAGAACCTGTTTATATACACTAGAGGTAGAAATTTTAGCAAGGATTTAATTTTGGCTTTATTAGCGAGGTAGATTAGTTCGCTAAATTTGAAAATCGCTAAAATTCAATTGCATTTTAGCATGCATTCTCTGTGAGCACCAAAACGAATTTGGGGGGGGGGGGATAAGGCGAGCCGAATGCCCATGCCCGTTTTATGGTTATGCAAGTACTTTTATTGGACATATCTCAATTCTCCGAATGTAACTTTGCATTTAAATGTTGAACGTATTTGTGAATATGATATCTAGACTTTAAAGAAACTACACACTTTACTTTTATTTATTGCCACAAATTGTCTAATATGATTAAGGGCGTATATGCTGTTATCTGAATGTTATATGTAACACATATTGCATGTGGAGCTATTATCAAAATGTTTACATTATTTATAATGATAGTGATTATATTTTGGTTTATCTTGTAGTAAAATAAGTAATCAAAGTACTCAGAAGTACAGAGAGCCGGGCCCATTTACAGAATAGAATGGATTTATTACAGTCATTATTTATACGTTTATATTCTGATGAAAAAATTATTTTAAAACTATATAAATGATAAGACACTGACAGTGAGTTTTTTCAATCCTAATACCACGGTCCGATTTTGTCAGAATCAAAATTAATCTGGTACCGCAGCTGAATGTAAACAAACTGGCCAGTCTGGTTCCCTCTCCTGCTTTACCTCGTATGTGTAGATCTAGAACTACGGTAACACTGATTATCAAAAACCCTTACGCTAATGAACTATGTTCTTTGACTTATGAAGTTTTCAAAGTTATTACTACTAATGTTTATTTTATATAATTAAAACTTCGTTTTATTTTTGTTGCTTTATTTAGCGTTTGTATTATCTCAAAAGCGGTTGAGAGTAAGAACTATATTTTTGCACGTAACTTTAAAATGGCGACTATGGGGTCAACATCCTGCCTTGAACAGGATCACATAAGCCGGCAATTGCTCTTTGAGCAATATGCCCGGCTAAAAATGAAAATACAAGTATTCCAATCATTATGTATATTTATTTTAATTTTTATCTCGCATTTTAATAATGCATTGTAAATGGGTTCATAATTAAATACATACTTGTAGTTATAGTAGACTAGTGTAAACAGGTTTCTTTTAAAAATGACCAGTGCTTACCGACACCTATTCACTGAGTTAAAAAAAGACACGAGTTCTCAGAAAAAAAAAAATTCTTCACATGTTGATTTATTTTTAAGAAAAATATTTTTGCGAATTCAATGCACGCGCAAATTTGCTAAAAATTTATCTACAGTAAAAATTTCCAGATTTACGGTATATATTTTATTTTCAGTTAAAAAATGTACAAATTAATCCTATAGCAACTCAATTATAATATGAAACAAAACAAAAAATTAGCATGACTCGAACACTTTCCTCAATAAACGTCACTTTAAAGAACTACTCGCTAAACACTGGACCACGCCGACACATACACAAATAGATTTAAATAATATACTGTTTTCTATATTAGAATTTTTAAAGACCATGATGAAAATTGAAGTAAGTAAACTCAATTTTTTATATAGAGTGGGTCTGTACCACTTTTTTTGCAAGTGTAAAAAGAAACATATTTCCATTGCCTTTCATTATTCGTCCTCAAAAATATTGTACGATGACCCACTCTATTTTAAAAATGTGGTTAGAGCATCCAAATTATGTCAGTTTTTGTGAAAATGGAGCGTGTTGCTATATTGTTGAGTTAATCAGAATCGAATTTGATGTTACAGTATTTAGGTATTGTCAAATTTTTATGCAAATGGCAATAAGCATTACATAAATTTAAGTGAAAGTGAATTTTGTGGAAAATGAATTTACCGATTTTTTATCTTTCATTATGTGGGCAAATGGCTCGGCTTATCCTCCAGCTTCTTTATTATAGGGCTTGGAAACGACATCTCTCCGATTTTTATGAAATTTGCATCGCAGGTGCAACTTGGCGACCGAGTTCACGTGGGAAACTTTTAACACCCGTATTGCTGGTTTGTACCAAGGTGCATCTGTGGTGCAAATTTCATCAAAATCGGAGATATGTCATTCCCAAGATTTTTTGGTGCGTACAGAGAATGCATGTTATCTGTTTAAGCTTCTTCAGTAAGCATTTTGAAATCGCTAACAATACATCCCGCTAAAAATTGAATGCCACTTTTTGAGGACAAATCGCTAAATTTGCGTCTAGCTAAAATTTCCACCTATATGGCATTCTTTATTTAGTTCATGTCTCATTCGTTCTGTTAGCTTAAGTAAGAATATTTATATCTTATTTGGAGGTAATATATGGATGCATTTCCGTTAAGAAATGCACATTTTGTTTTACTTTCATTTTCACGTAATTCAAATTTTGATGTTGCTGAATGAGAGTACATAAGAATGATTTATAAATTGTAGTCTTGAAGTAGAAAATTTAACCTAAGTTGATAAAGTTGCCAGAGATATTTGGTATAAATTTGTAATCAGAATAATACATTTTACATCTGAAAAAAAAATGTCTTTGAAAATAATTTTCACACAAAAAATAGAATGTTGAATCACATTTTAAAATTTAAATAACATGTTCATGAAAGAAATCATCTCCAAAGTTAATTTGTTTAAAACATTCTAATTGTACTCACAAGTACTCTGAAATTGACATCTAAAAGATGCCTGAGTTTCTGATTGACTATATGTGTTTTTTAGAAACCATGCAGGCACCATGACCATAAACTGAGGACAGACTTAGGTCAAAATTTTGATCCTTATGTGTGTAACAGGAAAGGAAAAAATGTATGGCTGGACCGGGAATCGAACCCGGGACCCCTGTATCTCTAGTCAGGTGCTCTACCCACTGAGCTACCCAGGCCGATATCCACGGTCCTAACCATTACATTCCTCCCTCCTTAAATGGTCTTCGCCCTCGAAGACACAACCCAAGTTCTTATTGCCCCTGGCAGGACTTTCACCTGCAATTCCAGGGGTGGTCAACGGCACCAACTATTATGTAACCGGAAGTAGAACTCTTCAGTGTATAAATTCCCAAAATCAACAGCCAACTTGGCTTAAAGGAGTAAACTATCTCCAGTTATCAATGATCAACCCAGGTAAGGGGATTTCTGAACTATGGTCAATGCTAAATGAACACACAGTTGTAAGTTTTATCAATTTAATAAAGTGAGAATTAACCGTTGTAAATGATAACAAATAATATATAATGATCAAAATTTAACAAACAGAAAAGTCTTTGAAAATTGCACAGGATAAATGAAGCTTTATCAGAAAATTGATTTAATCTGTTAAGTGAATCTCAATAATCTCAATGATAATAATCTCAATGAATAAATAATCAATTGAAAAATGAAATTAAAAAAAATGGGAGGAATGTGGCAAAACTATGAAAAATAATCTATGTCCCTACTGAGCTGCCATACTTATCAAAAAGGTGAAAAATCCTATAAAAATCAATGAGATGGAAAAAATGGAAAGGGAGTGAGCTACATCACCCAATATGACTACTATCAACACTCTAGAGTTGAACTGAAAATATCAATACTAATTCTAGTCTCTAAAAATAACTCACCAAGAAAATAAACAACACCCAAAAATAATTTATAAATAGTGGTTCTAGAAAACAAACCTGTTATCTACATATCCCTAGACCAGGCAGGACTTGGAAAGGGAAACTAAATTTACTTTAAATACCCTACATCCTAACTGTTTCTTAACATGTGAAAAACGTGAAACTAAATCTAAGCTAAAACCTAGAGAACTGTGAAACCATGAGGTTTTCTTAGCCCACTAAGTATCTAATCAAATAGTGCTCATAAACCATAAGGTTTTCTTAGCACAGAAAAGAGGAACTAACCATGAGGCTTTGTTCCCCAACCCAAGTAAAGAAAACTGCTCGAACACGGGTTTAAATACCCTGGCAAGGCCCAAAATAAAAACCAATGACTATCAAAGATCCTAAAGCTAGATTAACCAATCAGAACGCAGCTATCAAAAGTACTACGGAAAGACTGCCAACATGGATGACACTTCCTGTTTAAAAAGTAAAACATGTGGAATGTCAACTCATGTCCTACCTTATAAAAGACTAATAATAAAGGGCTTTTACCTAAGTAACAACAAGTTGCTGTCCCTTAAAAAAGGACTGCAATACGTGGACCATATGCATGCGTTTCTAACCGAAATTCAATTTATAAAAATACAATGATCTGCCAACTTGTGACTGATTGCATAGGCGTCGAAACCGGGGTAAGGGGGAAGGACTTAGCCCCCCTTTTTTCCAAATATATACTGAGTATAGACATTAAACATTGCTGCGTAGGTTTAGCCCCCCCCCCAACAAGTCGCAGTATAGGTTAAAAAAGAGGAAAGTGGTGGTACTGAAGTTTGAAACTGCCCCCTCCTCGAAATAGGATTTTCTTCGTGTTTGGGAAAATGATATCCCCCCTTTTTTTTGCTTGTTAGGTTTTTTGAAGGTATTTTTTTTACACTTAGCCCCCCCCTTTCAATTTGCTTCCGACGCCAATGGATTGTAGTCTGAAAGCAAAATTGTTTAATTTTATCTCCAATTTATAGGGAAGAAAGCTATCATGGTAAAAATAGATCTGATGGTTCACGTGTGGCACAGCTCTGTTGTACTCAGATTTTTTGTCAGAGCCCCCCCCTCCCACATTAAAAAACGTTGCTACCGACCTCTGTTAGATGGTAATTGGATGACTAATATATCAAATTATTTTGCGAGCCTTGAAGCACAAAATTATTGCCGGTGAAAACTTGTTTTATCTTTTAAAAGCTTTCACTAGTCGTTGAATGA